GAGGTCCTTGCGTGATCTTCATAGTAGTAAGTCCAACAAATTCATGTACACGTCGCGAAAGATGAGTACGTCAGTGATATCTGATTGGCAATGGTCTTTGTCGAATATGAACGAGGTATGAATAGATCATTAACGAACGTGGGTGTCCCTGATGGGAAGACTAGAATTGAGCGATACAGCCTATTCTTTGTAATTGCTCAAATTAAATCCTTTTTACGATAGTTTGGTGGAATCTGGGGATGTATCTCAAGAAACAGTGCCGTGTGAGTTACCTGAGGAAAAACATGCGAGTCGCGGAATCGACTGGAAACCGGGTTAGAAATACTGTTATATGAAGCAATGTCCACTGCCTCGTGAGCAAGGACTTGAAAACGACAAATTATTTGCCGATTGCTTAGCTGCGATCCAGGTGAAGTGGTCAACTTTCCCTCAAAGCTCTTTTAAATTCCGTGCGCAAGGCCACAGGGGGATGGCGATAGTGTATGCTTTTAATGAGTTGAGAGCCTCCACTGTATGGCTTCGTACATCAATATTCCTCCACGATCCTGATGGATGAATTCAACCAGATCCTTGTAATCAAAAAAACATTCCCTATACTGCAGTGAGCACCCCAAGCAACATACTTTGGGAATGGTTAGTTGTACCATAAGAGCTAATCATTACCATCGCCAAAATTGGCAGATATTTAAAGAGTTTAAAGCTTTATGTAAGAAACTACGCATCAAGTTGTTTGAATGATGTGTTCTTCCAATTTGGGATATGAACGGACAGAAGGATGTGAAAGTGCACCGACTCCACATCCAGAAAGATTTAACACCAATGCGCGAGTATAAGTTGTTCGCCAACCTCAAAGAGCGTATATTTGCTGCTTGAGAAATAACACTTCTTGGTTGCATAGGGATGAAGCATGGCGTGCGCCCTGGTTCAGAAAAGAACAAAGAGATCACTGACTGGCCTGTACCTTTCGATGTCAAGGGACTTCGGAAGCGCCTTGGTCTAGCGGCCCATCTACACAAGTTTTCGACTAATACCGCCGAGATGAACGTATAATTCTCTCGTATTATATAAAAAGAACGCGAAGTTTTCGCGGGATGCTGAGTGTCAGAGTTTCTGTATTAATACAGGCCGAACTTGATGCAATTTACAATTTAAAGATCGCAGACCAAGACAGAACATTCTGAGAAGAAGCTAGTATTCATAATGATGGACTCGAAAGTCGAAGAGCCGGACTGACATGAGACCTCGCGGCCGGGAAATGGACCGGAAACTTAAGGGGTCACAGGTAAAGAACGGCCGTTGGGTCTAAAACGTGACGAGTGGTTAAGTTTACTGCTAACGGGGTCAAATCGACTAACGGTACAAATTAAACGGTACCGATTGAATCGTTCTCAACCACTCGTCCGTCGGCCGGATTGCCAAAGGTGGACCTCTATCCACCGTAGTCTAACCTGGCCACCCATTGGCCAACCTGTTCACTTATAGGTCGACTTGGTGTTTCAAGGTCTGGTGGCTCCTGGCCACTCATAATAGCGAGCCCAGGTGCAAGGCAAAGATAGAGTAAAGGAGCTTAACGGATAGGACAGTATTATATACTGCTCAATTTGCGATCTCAGCATCACGACGTGTCTTGCGCTAAGAAACTTGTAAGTCTACCGACCTGATCCAGGCCAGAAATCTTTTTGACCCGCCCGTCGGATAGACTGTTGTCAGTAAGACCCGAGCGTAAGTAGAACCTCAGGAAGTACATTGGCCTATGGGTTCGTAGAGTAGCACCCCACAACTCAAGCCTGCTATAGGAAGCGGTTTTTATACCCCATTGGTAAGGGAAAAGAAACGTAAAGGCCAGGCAGTTAACACCACTAAGACAAGTAATGAGCAGGCGCAATTAGAACCTGAGGCAACTGTTTACAAGATTACTCTCGACCAAGTCGATCGAGTGGCCGCCTACATTGGACCCCGGCTGAAGCATATCTGTTTTAGACCCCAGGTTGACCTCCGTCAGTGCCGACGTCTATAATTATAAATAAGTCCTCCGGAGAGTTAAATTTACCAGCCGACAGGTTCACAAGATTAGTAAAGGTCTAGAAGCGGCACCAAGGTACACCCTTTGAAAGTCGGCAGTCCGACACAGTGAGTGTTTTCGGGTCTCGTCAAGCTGCTTTGGCAACCCACTCCATCACAGCTGAAGATGGTCTGTAATGCCTGCTATTACTAATTGGTAATTGGTTTTTGCATCAGTGTACGTCGATATAGACGGCGCGGAGCGCGTCGTATGTTGCCAATAGCGTCATCTGCAAGCAGCTAAGCCTTAATTATCCAGTGCATGACAAGGAACTATTTGCCATGAAGTTTGCTATGAAAAGTTGTAATTCTATCTGCTACGCGATAGACCCTTCATCGATTGTACGGACCATGCGTCAATACGTTTGACTGAAATCAGCCCATAAAAACTTGCAGCGGATGGCGAGGCGGATATAATTTACTGCGGAGAAACCTTATCTGTCAATTTAAGAGCCATGGATGACTTAATGTCGTCGCCTACGCACTCTCGCTCCTGCCGGACTTCGAACCGGCTGCGCCACTCGATACTGGTCAGACCACTGTTGCAGGATTTACTTTGATTGTCTCATCGTCAACCTTATTGTAAGGTGTACGAAAAGAATTTGATTCGAAGATTGTGCGTTTAATGCACCATTTGGCGCATCTATCCGGGAAGAGCCTCGAACAATTGTCACTTGTACATCGATCCTCTAAGTCTAGATATACAGTTTGCAGTGGCTTACTCCGCTATTTGGCTGTTGCCGGCGAAACAGGGTGTGTCGCCATACCAAATCATGGTGACAAACGATTGCTTGTTATGTATGAGTGGCATGACTCTCCTGTTGGTGGCCATCGTGGTCGAAAAAAGGAACATCTCACCGTGAGTCGCAGTTTTTTACTCGCTACGCCAGTATCAGTTCGTGCGCAAGTATATTCTACGCTGTGAGGTCTGTCAACAAATGAATTCCAGTCCTTCCCTTCTTGCCCTTTTGAAGCCTCTGCACATCTTTGTAGAGTGCTTGGACGCTGTCTATGTGGACTTTGTCTTTGACTTCTTTGCTAACACACACAAGAATATTAGTATTATTGTGTTCGTTGACAGCTTCATCAAGATGGTACATCTGGTTTCTGTTCCCGAATCAATTCAGCATCGGATTCTCCACATGTCTTTATTGGCACGGTCTTTGCCTTCCTCGTTTGCTTCTTGAACACGTTTCCGATCGGGACCTGCGGTTCAAAGCTGAGCTCTACATTTTCGTGTTTAAAAAACTTGGAGCGTGCTTATAAATGTCCATGTATGACCATCTTGAAACAGTTAATCAAACCGGACGTGCCAATCATCCCCCCCAAAGGGGATCTGTTAAGGATGCGTCAATTTCATTACGAAACGGAGCGCTTTTTTGCCGATGGTGGAGTTTTACGTTAACAAGTAAGTTCATGCGTCGACGACGCACGCCGTTCTTTATGTATGACCTGCGACATCCGCGTCTTCCAACCTAGCCATGCTGTGATTATCGTGAAAGGGTAGAGGGACTCGTTCGACGCCGATGTTGATCACATCGACTTTGGTGGAGAAGAGAAAATTAAGAGCGAAGATGCTCTTACTGGCCACAATAATGATAAAATTAGTATCACGCCTAGTGTGTCCAAAGACACACTCACAGAAGCGCAATTGATCTTGCAATGGTAAATGTGAAAACACTGTAGCTCAAGACAGAGAGTCAGCAGATAAATTCATACTGGATCGCATAACATTTGCCCGTTTAGTTCAAGACTCTATCGTAGAGGCGGATGAGGCTGTGCTTGGGGTGGAAATTTTGAAGATAATGGACAACGCGTTCAAGAGATTAAAACTAAATGCTGACATGAATGGAAGGGAAGGCGTTATTTTTGTCCAATCAGATCAAATTAGTCCCGTATCTTTTGTAAACCTACCTTGGCACAAAGTGACTAACAACGCTGAGCCCGCTTATTTGCAAGCCGAGCAAAGGATTTTTCTGCTTTTTTCTTCCCCTGATATAAGCTCAGACTGTTCACATTCCCTAGCAAAAAATCCAATATCTTGTGTCGAGGTCCTCGCGCCAATAATACGATACACGGTCGAGCTAAATTCAGATCACATTGTCCCCGCAAATCCATCGGAGGATGTTATTTATCCCCTACCTCATCCACTGGTTGACACTCGCGGTGGTTAACGCTTCCTAGTGAAATGACTACTCCGAAATGCGATGTAAAAGGACGTCGGACGAGCTACCTCGTCCGGTGGGCAGGAAAATCGCTCTAGGCAAATAGGTGCACATAATGATTCCGCCATCGACCATTCATCTGCCTATATCTGACCAGGTCTCATCTTTATAGGTCCGCCAGTCGTCGAGGGTAACCTTATGGCGTCGGTTACGTCATATAGAAGTAAGCCATGATGAAGGTTCATCGGTAGCCTCTGCCCTGTCAGTCGCATCTCCTGGCCTCCCGGTCACCGCCACCATGGAACCCTGTACAATCTCGTATGTGATTTACTCCGTGCGTAAGATTTTGATCAATCTTCAACATTTCGTGGCGGCACATCCACGCCGTGTGGAGGCTTGTGAGCGCAGCTTGCATCAACTTCTCCAAACTCCAATTACTAGTGTAGCTGATCAAAACTACTAAAAGATTAATTTCGGTGCCGCTCGAGCCTGGTGGCCCAAATCCTCAAGAGCTTTCAATTTGACCTGGCAATGGTCGAGCATCTGAAGTGGTGGATCAACGACCGGAAGAAACAGGGGAATCTCCTCGCGGTCTACTTGGTAAACGAGCGCTACTTAAGTTGCACCCGAGCTTCGACATCGATTTGTGAAGCCACTTTGTGCCAAACCCTGTGCGGTTTAACAGTCGACCGGTGGCGAAAGCGGTACCAGTGATACTTGATGAAGCCACCGGTGACGAGTTGCTCATTGTGGAAGCGCTTCTCAAAAAAGTGCATGGTTAGCAGACAACCGGAGTATCACAATGAGGTTCACGCCAGCTTTCACCAGCTCTGCACAAGGACGAAGGACCGGGGGAGAACGCTGTCGTTTCTGTCGTCGTCGAGGAGGAAGAAAGAGGAACAGGAACAAAGAGAGCTTGAGCTCGAGCTGGAGACAGCGAAAGAAGAACAAGACGTATACTCCAAAGACGAGCAGGAGATTGTCCGACCTCATGCGCCGACGTGGGATTCGGACAGTGACGATGACTACGAGAATACTAAACGGCCGATGCGTGGACTCGATCGCCGCGCGTTTGACTACCGTGAATTCAAAAATGATGCAATCGTTTGGTTCGAGCAGATTCGTAATCTCCGTAAAATTCCGCACCTTAAAGTGGGTTCACATCAGTCTGTAGCATTCCAACTTCCATAATGGCGTGAATTTATTTCCAAACCGTGAGGGTGACGTCAAACAGCCAGTTCTCGTGTTCATAAGGTGCTACAAGCTGCACTTGTTTCCTGCTTTTCCCCAGACTAAGTCACCCGCTTGGGTTCATACGACGGTAATTTGCTGATTGAACCAGCTCTAAACTGGTATTGCCAAATGGGTCGCTCGATTCGATCACGCTGATTAGATCTTCTACAAAAGCTCCATTCCACCATCATTATCAGCTCTCCGAAACTGACGTTCGCTGCAGGCGCGATGTGAACCTGGGAGCAGACAACGTTTATACGATAATCAGTCGTCGACGCGTCTTATGCATCTGACAAGTACTTTGTAACGGGGCACCCTGAAGCTTGTACTGATGAAAGCACAAGCTACTTATTCTGATGACAGAATGAGGCGGTGCCGCGTAACTTCACGTACACTGGTACGTGCAGAGGAAGACGGTAAGGATAAGCGAGTACTTGGTTAAAGTAAAAAGTAGAACTGCATTCATAATAGTTAATGTCTGTTAACAAACCCCCTGTTTTTCCTCATCTAACTATGTCTAACTACAAATGTGTATATCAACTATCTGCTCACCACTCATTGCGTGCGTCTATCGTGGCGCGTCTTCGTTGGTTGATATAATGGCCTATATCAACCAATTAGGAACTACTCGTAAGTGCTGCATAATATTTTTCCTTATGACAATATTCTGAGAATATAACTCTTATAGTTATATTCTATTAACAATGTCTTATAAATTGATATGTAACGGTTCACCCCGTTACATCACCCCCCAACCATCAGTCACTTTAGTGACTGATTGAATAAACGGATACTCATCCCAAATCGTTTGGGACAGGGTTTGCACTTGTTGGTCCGAGTCCACTTTCCAACATCTTATCGCTTGGTCAACAAGCCCATGCGATGCGCGAGCAAGGCCGCCGAGAGCGCGTCTGCACGTCTCTGTGCGGACGCCGAAGCAGAAACCACAGCAACTGATGTATCATCGGTTGCTGAAGCGACTCAGCCTGTTTCACTTGGTGACGCAGGCGCTCGTCATGAAGACACTCATGTCTTCACAGAGTATGAGCTCGGTGTCTCGTACTCTCCTGATACGGAAGACGGATCCGTATCGACGGCAATCGAATCCAAGCCGCCTGCCAAGCGTGGCATGGATGATGTTATGCGTCGTAGCATCTTTGGTTCATCTGACGAATCTGATGAACCATGCCGAAGCGAAGGCGCTCGAGGTCGCGAGACTCGGGCGCTAACAGTGGTGTCGGTTCTCCTATGGACACCACTTCGCAACGAGGTGCCAGTCCTTCTGTCGGCACGTCGCAGGACGAGCGGGACCGCAATGTCTTGCGTCTCGCTCCTGAGAAGAAGGAATGGATGCCTCCTAAATCCGTCATGGATCACTTGTCGGCGACGACGAGTGATCGTTATCGAACACGATTGTTCGATTCGTCAAGGATCCATCACCTTGACCCCAGCGCGAAAGACTATCGCGCTGAACATGAGTTCTTCATCGATGCTTTCTTTAGACATCGATGGTACAGTGGGAATCACAAGCGTAATGGTCCCTCAACGACAAACTTATCAAAGCTCGTGATAAGTTTGAAAAGCGAACTTCGACAGGTGCACGCTACAAGCTGCATCGTCTGTCAAGGGAGAAAGAATTACCTTGCCTCTCTTGGGGAGACTCGTGCCCATGTTGTGTGAACAACTCTGCACGAGCACCTAAGGAGGCTTACCTCCTTACTAGCCCGTGGTGGCGCGTGCGTATCTCTACTGAGATGTACGAAGGGATTGACAACCTAAAATCCCTTTACGACCGTGCCGGGAAGACTTTCTCCGGCGGTCCTTCTGCGGTACAGGATGTGCCGCATCGTACTGCTCAACCAGACCCAGTACGTCAACCATCAGTTGGGAGCGGGGCTCCCAAGTATCCCAGGACGAGGGATAGCCGCGCCACCGGACGAGATAACTCGTCCGACGTCCGTTCACATCGCGGTGGTTCAACAGCTGCTCAACCTGATAGCGCTGGTCACCGCTAGAGTCCTCTAATGGAGGTGGAGGAGGAGGAAAGACGCTCTCCACACAATCATGTGGATCCGTGTGTTCCCGAGAGCTTCTTTGATCGCGTAACGCAAGGGTTACGCGACGATCTCGAACATGAGCGGGACAGGCGTCTCCAAATGGCGGACACTGTCTCGAAGCATCGAGCTGAGTTTGCCTTTTCTCAGCTTGAGAACGAGAGAGCTCTGACATCTCTTCGTGACGAGCTAAGGGTAGCTCGTGGGATTGTTGATCGGTCTCGGGATGAGATAACTGCTCTTCAGACCCTTGTCGATGCCCACCATCGGGAGCACAAGGCTCTCTGCGAGATGCTTGAGCGCAAGGGCGTTCTTCATCGGCAGAAGCAGCGTACTGATGGTACGGCTTAAGCCGACCAACGTAAAACGTGGGATGCGTTCGCATCTTACGTGGTAACTCGATCGTGTATGCATTGCCTAGGCGGTGCAATACATGAAATGGGCCGATGTACTTGGATAGTAGTTTACTGCTACCCAAGTTAGTCACTACATGCTTTGGTAGGTTAACCGTAGACAGTAGGACTAATTCACCTTTATTAAATAAAAGAGTGTTTGCCCTTCCATTCTTGTCTGCGTTTTGCTTCTACTTATCCACAGCTTCGGCGATGGAGTCTTGCACAAAACGGACTACCGTTTTTCACGAGCCAGTATGAACTCATCTGCTGACTCGTTAACTTCAGTGCGCTGTGAGTGCACTGCAGCGACATCAACCTTTTCTTCAGTGAGGGCTTCCTCGCACTCACTGGCATCATCTTCATCGATATCGATGTTGTCGATATCGGCATCAAACGCACTGACCTCATCGTCAGAGTGTGATGAGCGTAAAACCAAATCGTTTCGTGATCGCGCGAGTCTCTCCCCCCTAAACCAGATTTACACTCTAGTAAGGTGGGTGCACGCGGATGGCGCAAGCCATTCACGTAAAACGGTGTATGTGTCGTGGACGCATGCACCGAGTTGTTAATGGCAAACTCTACCATTGGCAAAAACTCACTCCAACTCTTAAAGGAGTGTACGTATCGTCGAAGTATCTCTTCAAGGACACGATTGGCTCGTTCCGTCTGACCATCTGACTCTGGATGATCAGATGTCGACTTATTCAAGCGCGTTCCGAGTGATTTGAACACGGAACGCCAGAAATCCGCAGTGTAGCGTGAATCTCTGTCTGATACGAGCTCACGGGGCAACCCATGAAGTCGGAAGATGGTGTCGAAAAATACACAAGCACAGCCACTTGCTGTGATTGACTCTGGTACAGCCACAAGGTGTACCATTTCGCTGAATCTGTCAACAAATACAAGAATACCCGTATTCCCGCGTGCGTCTTTGGGTAACCCGAAGACGAAATCTATTGAGATGGATTCCCAGCACTCTGCCGGAACCGGTAGAGGCTGTAAAGGTGCACGCAGTGAAGGACTTGACTTCACTCGTTGACAGACTTCGCATGCGCGAACATACTTTCGCACAAACTGATACTGGCGGGGCCAGTACAACTCTCGACTCACCGTGAGATATGTTTTCTCACGGCCACGATGTCCTCCTATAGGAGCATCGTGATACTCGAACATGATACGCAAACGCAGATCAGTATCATCTGGAATGACAACACGTGGTGTGTCACCAGAAACGGCTGTATAATACAGAAACCCGTTGCGAGTAGTGTATCGATCTGATGCAGATCGATACGCAGACGACAATCGTTTCAACGATTCTTGAGATGGCTGGGAGAGATGTGTCAACAACTTCAAAATCTCACCATCTTGGGCGTATGCCCGCCTCACATCATCGTACAACGTTGTAGATGGGACAGAGGACGTCATAACCGCAACAGTGACTGTCTCACTGTTGGGTTTCGCGACTATTTCAAAGTCGGGATGACGTGAGAGCGCATCAGCGACGACATTAAGTCGTTCTGGTTTGTACTCGACCGTAAAGTTGTATTCTGCAAAGAATGACAACCACCGCGCCATACGTTGTGAAAGGTGCGGGCTGTTCACTGCCGTGCGTAATGACGCATGGTCTGTGTAAACAATGAAGGGTCTATCTCCTGATAGATCGACTCTGAACTTCGCGAGTGCATACTTCATGGCAAGGAGTTCCTTGGCATGCACTGGATAGTTCCGCTCAGCTGGTTGCAGCTGACGCGACTGATAGCAGACGACGCGTTCAACGCCTTCTAGGTCGTACTGCATTAATGCACAGCCGATTGCGAAATCGCTGGCATCACAGACCACATGAAATGGCCTGTCCTGATCGGCGATTGCTAGGACTGGGGATTGTATCAAGCTCTGCTTGATACCATCAAAGGAGCGCTAACATTCAGCGTTCCATAACCACCTCTCGTTCTTTTTCAACAAACGAGAGAGGTGCACAGCTATCTCGGCGTAATTGCGTGAATACTTATGCAAATACGCCGCTAGCCCAAGGAATTTTCGAAGACCTTTGACATCAACCGGCACAGGCCAGTCGGTGATCGCCTTGATCTTTTCGGGATCAGGACGTACACCGTTCGTACCAAAGATGCACCCAAGAAGTGGTATTTCGTTTGCTGCAAATATACACTTCTTGAGGTTTGCATACAATTAATGCTTTCGCATGATTGTAAGAACCTGTCGGACGTGGTACCTGTGAACCTCAACGTCCGACTTTCCATCCATAGCTCGGCTATGGATGAGTACGTCATCGAAATAACTCGGCGCGAATTCTCGTACTGGTCTCAACAGATGTGATACACATCTGTTGAACGTGACAGGGGCATTACTAAGCTCTTGTGGCATTACTAGCCATTCCTAGAGCATGCCGCTAGGCGTTCTAACTGCGGTATAGGGTATATCCTGTTCTCGCATAAGGATTTGATAGAAGCCATCCATCAAATCCATGGACGAAAAGATGGTACTCTTTGACATACCATTAACGATTACGTCCTTCCTTGGTATCGGCGTCTGAGCCGATAACGTTGCAGCATTTAACTTGTTGAATGCATGCACAATCCGCCACCCTCCTGTTGCTTTTTGCACACAGAAGGTCGGAGAGCTATGTGGGGAAGTTGATTCCCTCACATGGCCCGCAGCTAAACGATCGGCAAAGAATTTGTCGATCGCAAGTACTTGTTCACGAGGCAGTGGTCACTGCTTCATGACACAGTACTTCGAGCCTGGTTTAAGCTCGACCTCGTGTCGAATACCTTTATCCTTTGGTAACTCGCACGGAACAGTTTCAGGGAATACATCCTTGAATTCAACCAAATCTTCATAGGGAGGATTTGTCTTGAGCGATTCCCACGATTGGGAGTCATATCGCTCAACTCGTGTCTTTTCATCCAGGACACTCTCGTCCATTGATGAACTACTGAGAACTCTCTCGTTCTCAGTAAACACTGTTGCTGACCTTATGTCGGTTACACACTCGTCGTCAGCGACGAGTACGCAGATCTGCTTGACTTTGCCACTACGCAGATCACGCAAGAACCTTTTATGTTCGAGCGTTGGCAACTGAGTGATCTCCGAAGTCAACTTCGGAGGCGCAATCAGATCAAGTGTATAAGCGCCTACACTTGATCCGTTATTGACTATGACATTCAATGTCTCTGTCATTTCCTGGGGACTTATTCCCTCAGGCCTCGAAGGGCTTATTCCTTCGGCTTCCCGGGGACTTATTCCCGCGGGTTTCGGGGAACTTATTTCCGCCGTATTTGTAATCTTGGGACTTATTCCCTTTACTTCCTCTAGCTGTGGTTGCGCAACCACAGCGAGATCCTCTACGAAAGACTCTCCAGTCGATCTAGGATTATCGTTTCGCTTAACCTGAGCGATCGATCGTTTCTCTTCTAGACGTTCCCCGCTAGGGATACATCTTTGTCCCAGTCCACCCGACTTATTCGAGCGGTGGACCTTCGGCGCAGCCTGTGTTTCCTCACAGCCGCCGGAACTTTGCTCCGAAGTGTAACTGTTTGTTACACTAAGGTTTCGTGCAGTCGTACTAACGACCGTACCATAAGTGAGGCCATCGCACTCACTCGTAGTACATCCACACGCTTATGGACGCTCCAAAACGTTCATCAGATGGCAACCTGATGAACAAGCGGCAGGCATCGTTACTGTTCGATGTTACCAGTTTACCCGTGGTTCGTACCTTCTGAGCCACGGTATTCCAAGGATGACATCAAATTTGTCATCCAAATCCAATACGATAAAGTCATCATCATATTGGGTATCTTCTAGCGTATAGTGGATCTTCACTATACGCTTCATGACGGTTACGGATGCGCCTGTCGCAAGACGTACCGTCATCCTCGTAGGAGGTGTGTCACATTCACTGAACTTAAAGTGACCATCTTCTAGCGATTGGCGTTGCACAAAGTTGTTGGACGCCCCGCAATCGACCAGAGCTCGAAGGGACAACTTATGTGTCACTTCGAGTTTCAAGGTAATGAGTGAGATCTCATTACCTAGAGCAGCAACGCACAACGTTTGTGTGTTGGGAGCAACCTTCATCAAGAGGCCCACAAATTCTCTTGACGTTGCTGGACCAGTAGGGTGTTCCGCACCTACTGATCGTGTCCTTGTTTTGACGGTCCATCCCGTTGTTGCGTCTTTGCACCAACAGCGGACCCTCGTCCCTGCCCCTTTCTCATGAGTGGACGGTCACTACGCCCAGTGTTGCGAGACACTGGACGAGGGGCACTACACTCGTAAGCGTAGTGTCCTGTCTTCTGACATCTGTTGCATTTCTGCAACTTCTTGTAGTCTGTAGAGCAAGCCTTCTCGCTCTCTACATAACAGAGTTCCATCGGCTCTGGACCTCCGATGTCATGTCGTCTCGGTTGACGATATGATGTCCAACTGGCGTGAGCCTGTCTCAGACATGCACATCACGCTTACCCTGCTTGAGCTTCAAGAGTTCGGTTCGAGCTCTGAACTCAGCTCTAGGCGGTTCAAACGTTTGTCTGAGCCGCGACTTGAAGACTTCCAACGACCCAAACGCATATGGGTCGTGCAACTTGAGCCCCAGTGCCCAAGTCTTGGCACGTCCTGCCAGATTTGACTGGGCAAATGCAACTTGCATATCCCCGTCGTCGATGCGACGCGCCCTTATGGCGTCATCCAATTCGACGAACCATCTCAAGAGGGAGCCCTCTTCGACTCCCCTATACTTGGAGATGTCAATCTTCAAGGTTTCGGGTCGACGCGAATGCATCGACCCACCAGCAGCAGCCTGCTGCTGTCTCGACAGTTCAAACTGTTGAGCACCCTGTTCTCTCAACAACTTTGCTTGTTGAGAACCTTGTTGGTGAAGCAAGGATACTTTCTCGCGTTCTGCGTCAAGTTCATTTTGAATGAACTTGGCGATAGTAGCATGTTGGGCATCTCTATTATGAGCCTCTAGCATGACGCTAACAGCGTGGATGCCCATGCTTGAACCCATTCGTTCAACCACATCTCACTCGACATCGCTCAAATGGGAGTAGCCGTCACGCGTAGCGTGAAAGCTTTGGTCGTCTTCATCATCCAACAAATTCATGTTAAATGCGAACGTGGTCCTTGACGGACTACGAAGTGCTACCAGTTGTAACGAGGCACCCTGAAGTTTGTACTGGTGACAGTACAAGCTACTTATTCTGATGACAGAATAAGGCGGTGCCGCGTAACTTCACGTACACTGGTACGTGCAGAGGAAGACGGTAAGAAGAAGCGAGTACTTAGTTTAAGTAAAAAGTAGAACTGTATTCAGTATAGTTAATGTCTGCAATAAATCACTATTTATCCTCATCTAACTATGTCTAAATACAAATGTGTATATCAACTATCTGCTCACCACTCATTGCGTGCGTCTGTCGTGGCGCGTCTTCGTTGGTTGATATAATGGCCTATATCAACCAATTAGGAACTACTCGTAAGTGCTGCATAATATTTTTCCTTATGACAATATTCTGAGAATATACCTCTTATAGTTATATTCTATTAACAATGTCTTATAAATTGATATGTAACGGTTCACCCCGTTACATACTTGGTTTGTAAATTGACATTTCGCCAAAGGAAAAAAAGGGGGGGGGAAGGGCCCATTTCGGGATGCTCGATCTTTCAAGAACTCGGGAAACCATCCACAGTGAAGATACGCCCGAGCGTCCGCAGCATCGAGGAACCCCTCGAATCTTCAGGCATCAGCCACCGTTGCTTCGTCTATTTGTCCCTCGTAAAGTTCCGGCGGTCCGTCTTCTCCGGTGGTGCTGGATACTTTCGGCGACGGCTCAAGTGGGGTGAACTGGCCAAGTTGTGGTCTTCTGGTCGCCGCTCCACTAAGATTTTAACACCTTTGGCTTCGCCGCTATTTATCAAATCTTATGGTCCACCTGTTTTCAAGTGGACAATAGATTGAGACTTCGAGTCATTCGGCCACCGCGCCAGTCGCGGCTTCGGCCACGAGATGTGCTATTAATTCAAACATTTGCTAAAGCGAGCGATGTTCGGGTCTTCGGACTCGGACAATGAGCCGTTTTCTGGAAATTAAAATACCCTGACATCCGGAAGTACTTCAGATCCCGGACCCGGCACATGTTCACTCACTTCCCAAGACCACCACAATCCCCGCCGTGTGCAATCGAAGACTCTTACCACTGTGGAGCGGCACCATTGACCGTGGATCTGTTCAGCTCGTTAAGCATCGTAATGATGAGTCCGAGCGACCAAGACGACCGTCTGAACGTGCCTAGGGGATTATTCGGTCCAATAGACGGTCACGTCGACCTTCTTATAATGTGGAAGGCCTCCTATCCCAACCCCCATGTGGCTAAGGGCTTACTGGCCGCCGAGCTTAAGCAGTTTGTCATAAATCCACTGCCATACGTGTCACTTCGATCGAGGGTCTGTAATGCTAAGTCTGCCTCAACCTACGGGCGGAATAATGAAGACCACTGTAACGGGGCACCCTGAAGCTTGTACTGGTGACAGTACAAGCTACTTATTCTGATAACAGAATAAGGCGGTGCCTCGTAACTTCACGTACACTCGTACGTGCAGAGGAAGACGGTAAGAAGAAGCGAGTACTCGGTTAGAGTAAAAAGTAGAACTGTATTTATAATAGTTAATGTCTGCAATAAATCACTATTTATCTTCATCTAACTATGTCTAAATACAAATGTGTAAATCAGTTATCTGCTCACCACTCATTGCGTGCGTCTGTCGTGGCGCGTCTTCGTTGGTTGATATAATGGCCTATATCAACCAATTAGGGACTACTTGGAAGTGCTACAGAATATTGTCCTTATGACAATATTCTGAGAATATAACTCTTATAGTTATATTCTATTAACAATTTCTTATAAATTGTTATGTAACGATTCACCCCGTTACATCACCCCCTTAACCATCAGTCACTTTAGTGACTGATTGACTAAATGGATACTCGTCCCAAATCATTTGGGACGGGGTTTGCACTTGTTGGTCCGCGTCCACTTTCCAACATCTCATCGCATGGTAAACAAGCCCATGCGATGCGCGAGCAAGGCCGCCGAGAGCGCGTCTGCACGTATCTGTGCGGACGCCGAAGCAGAAACTACAGCAACTGATATCCCATCGGTTGCTGAATCGACTCAGCCTGTATCACCTGGTGATGCAGGCGCTGGTCATGAAGACACTCGTGTCTTCACAGAGTACGAGCTCGGTGTCTCGTACTCTCCTGATACGGATGACGGATCCGTATCGACGGCAATTGAATCCAAGCCGCCTGCCAAGCGTGGCATGGACGATGCTTTGCGTCGCAGCATCTTTGGTTCATCTGATGAGTCAGATGAACCATCGCCGAAGCGAAGGCGCTCGAGGTCGCGAGACTCGGGCGCTAATAGTGGTGTCGGTTCTCCTATGGACACCACTTCACAGCGAGGTGCCAGTACTTCTGTCGGCACGTCGCAGGAAGAGCGGGACCGCAATGTGTTGCGTCTCGCTCCAGAAAAGAAGGCATGGATGCCTCCTAAATCCGTCATGGATCACTTGTCGGCGACGACGAGTGATCGTTATCGAACACGATTGTTCGATTCGTCAAGGATCCATCACCTTGACCCCAGCGCGAAAGACTATCGCGCTGAACATGAAGTTCTTCATCGATGCTTTCTTCAGACATCGATGGTACAGTGGGAATCACAAACGTGATGGTCCCTCACTACTTCAGGCGTGGAACGCCTACATCCATAATCTCGAGGATGTAGGTCGTGACGCTTGGAACGACAAACTTATCAAAGCTCGTGATAAGTTTGAAAAGCGAACCCCGACAGGTGCACGCTACAAGCTGCATCGTCTGTCAAGGGAGAAAGGATTACCCTGCCTCTCTTGGGGAGACTCGTGCCCATGTTGTGTGAACAACTCTGCACGAGCACCTAAGGAGGCTTACCTCCTTACCAGCCCGTGGTGGCGCGTACGTGTCTCTACTGAGATGTACGAAGGGATTGACAACCTGAAATCCCTTTACGACCGTGCCGGGAAGACTTTCTCCGGCGGTCCTTCTGCGGCACAGGATGTGTCGCGTCGTACTGCTCGACCAGACCCAGTACGTCAACCATCAATTGGGAGCGGGGCTCCCAAGAATCCCAGGACGGGGGATAGCCGCGCCACCGGACGAGGTAACTCGTCCGACGTCCGTTCACGTCGCGGTGGTTCAACAGCTGCTCTACTAGATAGCGCTGGCCACCGCGAGAGTCCTCTAATGGAGGTGGAGGAGGAGGAAAGACGCTCTCCACACGATCATGTGGATCGGTGTGTTCCCGAGAGCTTCTTTGATCGCGTAACGCAAGGGTTACGCGACGATCTCGAGCATGAGCGGAATAGGCGTCTCCAGATGGTGGACACTGCCTCGAAGCATCGAGCTGAGTTTGCCTTTGCTCAGCTTGAGAACGAGAGATCTCTGACATCTCTTCGTGACGAGCTAAGGGTAGCTCGTGGGATTGTTGATCGGTCTCGGGCTGAGATAACTGCTCTTCAGACCCTTGTTGATGCCCACCATCGGGAGCACAAGGCTCTCTGCGAGATGCTTGAGCGCAAGGGCGTTCTTCATCGGAAGAAGCAGCGTACTGATGGTACGGCTTAAGCCGACCAACGTAAAACGTGGGATGCGTTCGCATCTTACGTGGTAACTCGATCGTGTATGCATTGCCTAGGCGGTGCAATACACGAAATGGGCCAATGTACTTGGGTAGTAGTTTACTGCTACCCAAGTTAGTCACTACATGCTTTGGTAGATTAACCGTAGACAGTAGGACTAAGTCACCTTTATTAAATAAAAGAGTGTTTGCCCTTCCATTCTTGTCAGCGTTTTGCTTTTGCTTATCCACCGCTTCGGCGATGGAGTCTTGCACAAAACGGACTACCGTTTCACGAGCCAGTATGAACTCATCTGATGACTCGTTAGCTTCAGTGTGCTGTGAGCGCACTGCAGCAACAACAACCTTTTCTTCAGTGAGGGCTTCCGCACTCTCACTGGGATCATTGTCTTCAGTGAGGGCTTCCGCACTCTCACTGGCATCATCTTCTTCGATATCGATGTTATCGATATCGGCATCAAACGCAATGACTTCTTCGTCAGAGCGTGATGAGCGTGAACCAAATCGGTTTTTGCTCGCGCGAGTCCCTCTCCCCCTTAAACCAGAGTTACACTCTAGTAAGGTGGGTATACGCGGATGGCGCAAGCCATTCACGTAAAACGGTGTATGTGTCGTGGACGCATGCACCGAGTTGTTGATGGCAAACTCTACCATTGGCAAAAACTCACTCCAACTCTTAAAGGAGTGTACGTATCCTCGAAGTATCTCTTCAAGGACACGATTGGCACGTTCCGTCTGACCATCCGACTCTGGATGATCAGATGTTGACATCTTCAAGCGCGTTCCGAGTGATTTGAACACGGAACGCCAGAAATCAGCAGTGAATCGTGGATCTCTGTCTGATACGAGTTCACGGGGGCAACCCATGAAGTCGGAAGATGGTGTCAATAAAGACACAAGCACAGCCACTTGCCGTGATTGTCTCTGGTACAGCTACAAGGTGTACCATTTTGCTGAATCTGTCAACAAATACGAGAATACCCGTATTCCCGCGTGCGTCTTTGGGTAACCCGAAGACGAAATCCATTGAGATGGATTCCCAGCACTCAGCCGGAACCGGTAGAGGCTGTAAAGGTGCACGCAGTGAAGGACTTGACTTCACTCGTTGGCAGACTTCGCATGCGCGAACATACTTTCGCACAAACTGATACTGGCGGGGCCAGTAAAAGTCTCGACTTACCGTGAGATATGTTTTCTCTCGGCCACGATGTCCTCCTATAGGAGCATCGTGATACTCGAACATGATCCGCAAACGCAGATCAGTATCATCTGGAATGACAACACGTGGTGTGTCACCAGAAACGGCTGTATAATACAGAAACCCGTTGCGAGTAGTGTATCGATCTGATGCAGATCGATACGCAGACGACAATCGTTTCAACGATTCTCGAGATGGTTGGGAGAGATGTGACAACAACTTCACTATCTCACCATCTTGGGCGTATGCCCGCCTCACATCATCATACAACGTTGTAGATGGAACTGAGGACGTCATAACCGCAACAGTGACTGTCTCACTGTTGGGTTTCGCGACTGTTTCAAAGTCGGGACGACGTGAGAGTGCATCAGCGACGACATTAAGTCGTCCTGGTTTGTACTCGACCGTAAAGTTGTATTCCGCAAAGAGTGACAACCACCGCGCCATTCGTTGCAAAAGGCGCGGGCTGTTCACTGCCGTGCGTAATGACGCATGGTCAGTGTAAACAATGAAGGGTCTATCTCCTAATAAATAGACTCTGAACTTCGCGAGTGCATACTTCATGGCAAGAAGTTCCTTGGCATGCACTGGATAGTTCCGCTCAGCTGGTTGCAGCTGACGCGACTGATAGCAGACGACGCGTTCAACGCCTTCAAGATCGTACTGCATTAATGCACAGCCGATTGCGAAATCACTGGCATCACAGACCACATGAAATGGTCTGTCCTGATCGGCTATTGCTAGGACTGGGGATTGTATCAAGCTCTGATTGATACCCTCAAAGGAGCGCTGACATTCAGCGTTCCATAACCACCTCTCGTTCTTTTTCAACAAACGAGAGAGGTGCACAGTCATCTCGGCGTAATTGCGTGAATACTTATGCAAATACGCCGCTAGCCCAAGGAATTTTCGAAGACCTTTGACATCGACCGGCACAGGCCAGTCGGTGATCGCCTTGATCTTTTCGGGATCAGGACGTACACCGTTCTTACCAAAGATGCACCCAAGAAGTGGTATTTCGTTTGCTGCAAATATACACTTCTTGAGGTTAGCATACAATTGATGCTTTCGCATGATTTTAAGAACCTGTCGGACGTGGTACCTGTGAACCTCAACGTCCGACTTTCCATCCATAGCTCGACTATGGATGAATACGTCATCGAAATAACTCGGCGCGAATTCTCGTACTGGCCTCAACAGATGTGATACACACCTGTTGAACGTGGCAGGGGCATTACTGAGCCCTTGTGGCATTACTAGCCATTCCCAGAGCATGCCGCTAGGCGTGCTAACTGCGGTATAGGGTATATCCCGTTCCCGCATTAGGATTTGATAGAAGCCATCCATCAAATCCATGGACGAAAAGATGGTACTCTTTGACATACCATCAATGATTACGTCCTTCCTCGGTATCGGCGTCTGAGCCGGTACCGTTGCAGCGTTCAATTTGTTAAACGCGTGCACTATCCGCCACCCTCCTGTTGCTTTTCGCACACAGAAGGTCGGAGAGCTATGTGGGGAAGTTGATTCCCTCACATGGCCCGCAGCTAAACGATCGGCAAAGAACTTGTCGATCGCAAGTACTTGTTCACGAGGCAGTGGCCACTGCTTCATGACACAGTACTTCGAGCCTGGTTTAAGCTCGACTTCGTGTCGAATACCTTTATCCTTCGGTAATTCGCACGGAACAGTTTCAGGGAATACATCCTTGAATTCAACCAAATCTTCATAGAGAGGATTTTCCTTGAGCGATTCCCATGATTGGGACTCATATCGCTCAATTCGTGTCTTTTCATCTAGGACACTCTCGTCCATAGATGAACTACTGAGAACTCTCTCGTTCTCAGTAAACACTGTTGCTGACCTTATGTCGGTTACATACTCGTCGTCAGCGACGAGTATGCAGATCTGCTTGACTTTGCCACTACGCAGATCACGCAAGAACCTTTTATGTTCGAGCGTTGGCAACTGAGTGATCTCCGAAGTTAACTTCGGAGGCGCAATCAGATCAAGTGTATAAGCGCCTACACATGATCCGTTATTGACTATGACATTCAATGTCTCTGTCATTTCCTGGGGACTTATTCCCTCAGGCTTCGAAGGACTTATTCCTTCGTCTTCCCGGGGACTTATTCCCGCGGGTTTCGGGGAACTTATTTCCGCCGTATTTGTAATCTTGGGACTTATTCCCTTTACTTCCTCTAGCTGGGGTTGCGCAACCACAGCGAGATCCTCTACGAAAGACTCTCCAGTCGATCTAGGATTATCGTTTCGCTTAACCTGAGCGATCGATTGTTTCTCTTCTAGATGTTCCCCTCTAGGAATACATCTTTGTCCCAGTCCACCCGACTTATTCGAGTGGTGGACCTTCGGCGCAGCCTGTGTTTCCTCACAGCCGCCGGAACTTTGCTTCGAAGTGTAACCGTTTGGTACACTAAGGTTTTGTGCAGTCGTACTAACGACCGTACCACAAGTGAGGCCATCGCACTCACTCGTAGTACATCCACACGCTTGTGGACGCTCCAAAACGTTCATCAGATGGCCATCTGATGAACAAGCGGCAGGCATCGTTACTGTCCGATGTTGCCAGTTTACCCGTGGTTCGTACCTTCTGAGCCACGGTATTCCAAGGATGACATCAAATTTGTCATCCAAATCCAATACGATAAAGTCATCATCATATTGGGTATCTTCTAGCGTATAGTGAATCTTCACTATACGCTTCATGACGGTTACGGATGCGCCTGTCGCAAGACGTACCGTCATCCTCGTAGGAGGTGTGTCACATTCACTGAATTTAAAGTGACCATCTTCTAGCGATTGGCGTCGCACAAAATTGTTGGACGCCCCACAATCGA